TTATTATTATTATTATTATTATTATTATTATTATTATTATTATTATCAATATTATTATTATTATTGCTCACCATTAGTATCATCATCATTACTATCATTAATACTATTATAATTTTTATCATTGTTGTTAGCATTATTATCATCATCATTATCATTATTATTGATATAATTTTTATTATTGTTATCAATACTATTATTTTTATTATCATTATCATTTTGTCATTATCATTGTTATTTATCATCATCATTACTTTTATCAATATCATCATCAACACCATTTTTATTATACTCATCATCATTATTATTATCATTATTTTTGTTATTATCATTGTCATTATTATTACCATCATTACCATTATTATCATTTTCATTCTTATCATCATTATCATTATTGATATTACCATTATTATCATTATCATTGTTATTATTATTATCATTATTATCATCATTTTCATCATTATCATTGTCATTTTTTCTTTATTATTATTACCATTATTATCAACGTATTTCTATTCGCAAGATTGATGTTATATCTTGGGTAATGAGCTGTAATAGCGGACCACAACCAGAGGTCTTAGATATTGCAGCATCCCTAATTTCTTCATTTCATGTCCAAGACTTTCCGAATAATTCTGGCTGTTCCAAGTAAACAAGGCTTTTGTAACATTTCTGCTATTCCTAAATCTAGCTTTTGAATCCATTTTTCAAAGTCTTTCGTCACAGATCCTAATGCCCCTACAACTACAGGGATTACTTCAACTTCTTTCATTCTCCACATTCTTGCAATCTCATATTTCAAGTCGCAGTAATTGTTGCACTTTTCTTCTTCTTTCTTTTCAATGCGAGTGTCAAATGGGCATGCTGGGTCAATAAGAAGGCCTTTTTTGCTATTTTTCTCAATTGCAGTGATATCCGGTCTATTGTGTTCCAGTGTCTTGTCTGTTTGTAAGGGGAAATCCCATAAAATCTTGCAGTCGTCGGTTTCCAATACTTATTCAGGCTTGTGTATGTACGTACCGCTTATCAGATTTCTCAAATCCCCATTTTTTACATAATTTCCAGTGGATCACTTTTGCAACATTGTCGTCTACCTTCTTTGTATTCCTTCTGTGCTAGTTTCTGGCATTCTGACACAATATGTGCCACTGTTTCTTCTTCAGCACCACGCCCTCTACAACTCGAATCAATATCCTCTCCATAGACTCTTTTCCTCAAATTCCCTGTGCAAAGGGCTTGATCTTGTGCTGCTATGATTGTGCTCTGTTTCTTTTTTCAATTATCCTTTTCTGAGCCAATCCCAATTATTATTATTATTATTATTATTATTATTATTATTATTATTATTATTATTATTATTATTATTATTATTATTATTATTATTATTATTATTGTTATCATGACTGTTATTATTATTATTATTATTATCATAAATACTATCATCATCATCATCATCATCATCATCATCATCATTATTATAATTTTTATCATTATTATTATTATCATCATCATCATTATTATTATTATTATTATTATTATTATTATTATTATTATTATTATTATTATTATTATTATTATTATTATTATTATTATTATTATTGTTGTTATCATGACTTATTATTATTATTATTATTATTATTATTATCATAATTATATCATCATCATCATCATCATCATATCATCATCATCATCATC